ACTCCAAGGCTGTTTTATTGCTTTGAAATGAATGCTACATCACTGAAAATATAAATTAGATTGTACCCTGAAAATGAGGCAGCTTTATAAACTGTTTCATGGAAGTCAAACTGAAAACAAAATATAATAATGGCTCTTTCATGGAAACAAGAATTCCAAGTTTCAGTTAGAAAAAAAAAAGTTTAAGAATATGGTATGATACTAAAACAACCATTTAAAATTAAATCCACAAACACTGTGAAACTGAGAGCTGGTTTTTCTAGGATGAAATTAAACAAAAAATATGTAGAAATAACCAAACAACAGAAGATGACTTCTCTAAAGTTTTTCCGATTGAGAATACTTAGTAATTTGGTAACTGTACAAATATTATAACACTAAGGACACTAGCAAGCACAGGTATAGATAATGAATATAAAAAGGAGACTTTCTTTTTCAGTAGTTTGAATGTTTTAATGATGCTATCTTTTCCAGAAACCATGAGCAGTCAGTCTGAGGAGGCGTGGCATTGTATATTTACAAATAAAAATGTTATTTTGGAGTAAGTTGTGCTAATGGAAGTCCTAGCTATTAGTTTTGGTGGAAGGAAACAAAAAGCAGTACAGAAAAGAATGTTATATTTGTAAATGAAAAATAGTGTCTGATTTTACTATTATTAATGTGTCGGAGAGCAAACTAGGGTTCTAAAAAGACTTATAGATACAATTTGTGAAGATTTGATAGATAGATATTTAACACATTCCCAGATAGTCTGTGTTCAAGTTCTACATACTTTTTGCATGATTTATTTTGAATAACAAGAAGAATATCCAAAATCAAAGACAAATAGAAAAGCAGGTACAATATCTTCAGAGTTTAAGGGTGAAACAAATGGTTGGGTCACTGAACACCATGTCCCAAGTTCTTCAAAGAAGTTTCAAGCTCACAGTGACACATGTAGAAAATCTTTGCCTTGAATATGTGTGTTGGAAACAGAAGAGAGCTGGTATAGTGACTGGTTTGATTTATTTGTTTATTTAATATATTTTTTTCATTTCACATTTCAAAGCAAGTGAATTTAACCCTTTCTTGAGGGTTGTGGAAGTTATTTATATATACTTTTTATTTAAGCTGTTGAAAGGTATTCCAGATGAAAAAAAATACTATACAAAATGTAAACAAAATCATATACAAACATATATCTGTGTGTAAAGAAAGAGAGAAAGACAGGGAACTCATGTATAATAAGAAAATACATCAGTTAAATTTACTTTCTCTTTGTAGCTTGAGATGTTTAAACAACACCTCCATTCATTGTTTTCCATGCAGTATTCCTAAGATTTAACTCTAGAGACTGATTTCAGAAATGTCCTGAGGAGACAAAGCTCTGGGCAGAGATAGGTTAAGCTAAGTTGCAGAGAACACATGAATGTAAAAGAGAGAAATATAGGTTTTAGTTCCAACTACATCAAAAATTGTGCTGGTCCAAGAGACATGTCACAAGGAGTAACAAGTAGATAAAACTCAGTCCCTCTTGTGCTATTATCATCTTAGAAAGGGTAATTGTATGTTATACAGAAAAATATAACTGACATCTGCATTTTGGTTTGGGATTATATAGGTTTCTTTGGAGAGTAATTGTACAAAATCTGTACTAACACATACATACATGTTAACCCTTGATGTATACACATATCAAGGGTTAACATTTGGCTATATACCATTACAAATCAAAACTATTTCAGGCAATGCACTACCCCAGCTTCTTCAAGAAAGTCTGATCACAGGGATTTCTCACTTTGGTCATCTGAGACTGATTGCATCACTGACAATTGTAAGTGTACTGGGCTAACCTTGGGAAGGGAACTGTGGCAACATGTGGCTTAAAAATAAAACTTCACAGCATCCTCCTTTTTTGACCTTCTTCAAGGAAGTCTCTGGTGAACATATCATTTAGAGCAGTGGTTCTCAACCTTTTTCCTGCCAGGACTCACTTGCAAAGATCCATTGCCTGTCCCATCCCACACACCCCTGACCCTGCTGGTGACCGACCCATAGTCCTCTGCCTGCCCCAGGTGGTATAAGTATTAATGTAGGTATTAATGCTAGTGTCCCTCACTCCTAACCCACAGCCTCCTGCCTCCCCAAAACCTGCCGGAAGTGGCCCCCAGTTGCCCCCGTCCTGTTTGGGCCAGAGCATGGTGGCTGCAGTGGGTCCAGCTCATGCGGGCAGCAGCGGAGTGGGTCTAGCCCTGGCACAGGCTGGAGGGAAGACAAGGAGAGGCCTGTGGCACCCCCACTGCCCTGGGCTGGGGCTGCCGTGCCATGCCACTCAGCCTGGTCATGGCCCCTTCTATCCCCCAGGCAGCATCTCCTTGCTGGCCCACCCCTGTGAGCACAGGCGCAGGCATAGGCACAGGCCCCAGTGCCATCAGCCTGGCCATGCAGCTCTCTCCCACCGTGCTGGAAAGGGCAGGTGCCTTCCTGCCACCTCTTTGTCCTGCTGCAGCTCATGACCCTTTGAAATATTCTTGTGACCCACTTTTGGGTCCCGACCCACAGGTTGAGAAACACTGATTTTGAGTGAGATCAGACTGATTTGGTCACTGACATTCTTACGTGGGTGTCATGTGATACCAGATCACTGCAAAACTGAGCTTTGGGTGTGGCTTCCTGTCTATTAACCACAGTGGCCTTGTCTCTTGGGGTCACCCAAGAGAAATTTGGTCACCTGACAGTCAGTGAAACCCTGGTCCTTATTCAGGTATGATGCTTGTTACTGAGTTTTGGGTCTGGCAGCACCCTTTCCCAGCTCCATTAGGAGCTCCATTAGGATAGACCCCATGTCCTTAGGATGTGGCACATAGGGGTGACCAGTGATGTATTCATTCTCTATTAAATTCCTTATTATTTATTTCATTTCCATATTTTATGATTCCCAGTAGGATATTTTACTGGATATTTTACTGGACCCTACATTACTTACCACAAATCAGAGGGAGGAGAGAGGAGGGGAAGGGATGGGTGATGATTTAGCTTGCGTTGAAAACTGAAAATAAGGAGCCACTTTTAGCCCTGTGCAAATGCCCTTCTGACTAGCACAGTGGTTTGGAACCTTTTATCATTTGCAGATCCCCAAAACAATTTTGAATGGAGGTGCAGACCCCTTGACTTGTAGGTGTGGGTATTCACATACTTTTGATTAATCATCATCTTTTGTGGATGCCAGGTGTCCACAGACCACAGGTTGAAAACCACTGACCTAGGAGACTAGGACCTCTTTTTGGCTAGCTCTGTGATTCTCAACTTTTTTAGGCTCAAGGGCCCCTGCATAGACTCAAAGCCCCCCTCAGAAAATGCCAGCTTTTTGTTCTGACTCTTTCCTCTGAACGCAGAAAAAATAATACAGCTGCTTTCCTGTTGCAAAGGACTCAGAAAGCCCACAGCTACAGATGCCTATTGGAAATCCTCCCGGGCTTTATATGATGAATCACATTTGCACAATGAACCGTGCTGCCGCACCAAGTACCTGCACGGTGTGGCACTCCGCAGTGGATCCTGAGGCCTTCCCCCTGGGTGCTGTGGCACGTTGGCTGAGAATCACTGGGCTGGCTTCTCCTAGTCAAGCTGGAGAAGGGATGCTCTTGACACTTCCCTGGAGGCAGTAAAACAGAGAGGGAAGGGGATGTTTAATAGCAGCCTTCACCTACCTGAAGAGTCGTTCCAAAGAGGACGGAGCTGGACTGTTCTCAGTGGTGGCAGATGGCAGAACAAGGAGCAACGGTCTCAAGTTGCAGCAAGGGAAATTTAGGCTGGATATTAGGAAGACTACTACCCTCATTAGGAGGGCAGTGAAGTACCAGAACAGATTACCCAGAGAGGTTGTGGACAGTCCATGCTTGGATGTTTTTAAGACCTGGCTTGACAAAGCTGCGGCTGGGATGATCTAGTTGGAGACGGTTCTGCTTTGGGCAGGGGGTTGGACTTGGTGCCCTCCCGAGGTCCCTTCCAGCCCTCCTTATTTGCAGTTAGATATTAGGAAAAACTTTCTCACGAGAAGGGCAGGAAAACACTGGAAGGAGTTAGGGAAAGAGGTGGCGGAATCTCGGCCGGAGGAGGATTTTAAGACTGAGGTAGACCAAGCCTTGGCTGGGACGGTGTAGCTGGGGATGGTCCTGGACACGAGGTGACCCCGAGGTCCCTTCCAGCCCTCCTTGTCTACGGCTCCCTGAGCACGTGGCAGTGAAACGCGAGGTGGGGTGGAAGGGGCAGTCTCCGAGCGCGGCTGCGGAGGGCAGAAAGGGCGGCCGTGCGAGGGGCGGGGGGAGCTGCCACAGTCTTGCAAGGCCCCCCCCGGTGCGGTCCCGCGGGGAGCGAGACTCTGCCAGGCGCGGGGCGAGGGTGGAGGCGGGAAGAGGCGGCGCACATTGGCTGCGGCGCCGGGGCCGAGCTGATAAGGGCAGGCTGCCCCGCCGTGCTGCAGGACAGGGCCGCGGGCACGGGCACGACCAGGGGCACCGCCGAGC